TCGCAATGCCACGATCTCAAAACCACAAGGTATATGTGGTGCCCAGGTGACCACACGGATGGCGCCGTGCAAAACACTGATAGTAAATAAAAGTAATTCACCGACACACACTTGAAGGGTTTTTAAAGTATTGATATGTTAATTCAACACCCAATGTCACATACTGTCATGAGGTTCTAACGTTTCGGGTCCGCACAGTGATCCTTTATCAGAGCGACAGGTGTCCTAACTAAAAAGAAATATGAACCCAGAGAAATATGAATGCTGCAACTGCTGATTTCTTTCCCAAAATGTTAGTTGCCCGTCTGTCTTTGTCTTCTAAGTCATTGATCTGAAACACGCATGCAACACGTGAAGTCATAGCTCCTGTTCTGCATACTGGTTTGGTTCACTGACTTTCCTCACTATAGGTTTCCTTTCATTTTCATCTTGCATAAATAAATATTTTAAGATGACTAAACTTTTAACAAAATTCAGCTATTTTGTTTAAACTCTCGTCAGTAAGAATCACAGCTCCTGCCTTTATTCGGCATTCATATCACATTGTAGTATCCTTCTGCATCCAAAAATATATGTGGAAATTGTGTGGAGCTGTTTGGGGAAAAACAACAACCTTAGGCATTTCATAGGGGTTGCTTGGAGTACATCTCTGCCCTCAAATGCTGGGTATAGTAGTGTACTCAGATGTGGCTTGGCTGTGGCAACCTGAACAAAGTTTAGGCTGTGGCTGGTGTGAGGATTTTGCATCACATGGGCCAATATACAAAGCTCAGTTCACAATGCTTATCAGTTTTAGGATTTTGCCTACTTTTGTCTAGAAGGGTATCGCCACATTATTCCCATACAAGGTTACTGCCAACTAACAAAGAAAAGGAAATAACTTTTCAGCCTCCTGGATAGCTTGCTTGATGTATTTGCATCACAGAAGAGACCCCCAATTTCACAGCTCTTCTCCAAAATAGGGACTTCCTGATTTAAAAGTATATTTGAAGCTGAAATTTTTTGCGTCTTAGCCTCACTAGGGAGATTCCCTGCCCCATAGACTCAACAGGAGGTGAGGGGATATCTTTACAATATAAGAGAAGACAGTTGTCAATGGAAGTGCCCTCAATGGAAGACTGTTCCTATTGTTCTGGTGGCAACTCAAAATTTTGGATTTACCCACGCTTACAGTCCCTGAGACATTGTTGATAAAGACAATAAGGGATACTGAATCTCTCAAACTGGTACCTTATTTAACATAAAACCCAACATGGCCTGCAAGGCAAATGCACCCAATACCACACCAAACCCTGGGTCATCTGAGGCTGTGCCACACACTAGTAATTAATTACTATTGTATCCCCTGGCAGGTCTGGGTACCTAGAAAATTGTAAAAATGTCAACAATTGCCCAGGTGACCATACCAAAGTGCAGAGCTAAATGATCATCAGACTGCACAATTTTATTGGTCTGTCATGACCAGAGCCTTAGGTGCCCTGTGCAAAAAAGCTTTACAGTGCCCCTCAGTGATCACACCCCTCAGTAACCACTCCCCTCAGGGACCACACCCACTTCTCCAATACCCACACCATTTAAAGCCTCCCATTTTGTTAAGCCCCAAATAAACATTAAAAGTATGATAAAAATAAAACTTTTATCCAATGTATTAAACTTGTAAACACAATATAAGTATACTTATTAAATTAAACCACTGCAGGCAAACAAGTGGTGAACAATAAATGTCGAACTAAAATAGAGTCTACAAAAATAAAGTGTCATGATGTCATGCAACAAAGTCCTTAGAATGTCCTGCCGCACTCCTTACCAAAGAACCCATGAAGGTGGTTGCTGTAATGACAGCAGATGGCACCGCAGGCAACAAACCAGCACACCAAACAATTTGGAAATACAAACAGGGTATGCAAGGCAAGTAAACCCAGGGAGCCGGGCAAGACCAGGGGAGCTAAGGGACAAAGGGTCAGAGTACAGGCAGGTAACAGGATTGCAAGCGGGTAACAGGGCTCAGGACTGCAAGCAGGTAACAGGGCTCAGGACACAGAACTCAAGCTGGGACAAAGGGTCAGGTTATAGGCAGATAACAGGATACTGCAAGCGGATAACAGGGCACAGGACTCAGTCAGGGAAAGGCAACAAGATACTCAGCCACAGTCCTGACTGTAGGGAGGGATTAAATACCCTCCCAGGAAGCACCAGATGGTTGATAATCGCTAGCAGCTGGGAGACACCCGCAGGTGAGCACTGGAGTCGCAGGTTCCAGCACCACCCAGTGGTGGTCTGATACCTGACAGTTCCTGGCTGCCTGGAGACACCTGCAGGCGAGCACAGAAACTGCAGGTACTGGCTCCAGCACCACCTGGAGGTGCTCTGGATCCTGACAGACAGATGCCGGCAAAATATAAACAATTGGGCGGAGCTAGCAGTGACAGCTTGCTAGCTCCACCCAACTGTTTATATTTGTCCGGCACCTGATAGGACTTAGCTGTGTGAGCCACCATTGGGCAAAGTCATCATTACTTTGCCCAATCATGGTTCTCACAGTGCACTGTGCTGTGATTGGGTAAAGTCTTGCACCTGACCTGTGACTGTTCTTAAACTGGTTAAATAAGAAAAATCCCATCTCCCCATTAATCTCCAGTTCCCAACAAACACATATATTTTACATGATATTTGCATTTACTGCATAAACATCGAACACTGGCGTAAGCAAGCACAATGTCATTGAAGATTCTAACAAAATTGTGAATATATTGCCATTGTGCAAATTTTTTTCTACACAAACTCAGCATTATCTCATCTTAACGTTACATTAATGCTTTATACAAATATAATCTTTTTTCCTGGTTGCATTATGAGTTAATGTACTAATACAACTTTTACAAAACATTGCTATTGTGCAGCCCTCGGAACATGTTCAGAGCCACACTTAAGGCTCCCTTTATTTACTTTGTTGACTGCTGGTCTAGAAAATCCAGGCTAGAGCCATCTTGCTGGTAATCTGGTTTATTTAAGCGTATCATGTCCTGTGACATTTATTCAATTGAAATACATAAACAATTAACAGATCCATTTGTCCTTTGAAACTCTACGTTTATTAGTTCTTTGCAAATTGAGGCAGAAGCGAACATCCTTAGTATATTTTCTTTTCATGTAAAATGTAATACTGTACTTGGAAAATACCTCTTTGTGACCACTAGATGGAAGTGAGGAATATAGGAAATTAATATTTTTTTCCTACACTCCTCAGCTCCGTCTAGTGGCAATAAAGCACTATTTTCCTAATATTACAATCCTAATTTTCCTAATATTACAATATTACAAATGGCTCTGCTGTTTATAAATACATCTCTTTCTGTATTAAAGTGTTGCTGTATAATAAGAAGAAGAAAGAAGAGATTAAAGGATAAGACTTTAAAGGACAACTATGGGGTTAGGGCTTTTCCCCATAGTTCTCCTTAGGGTAACGGGAGGACACAAACTAGCGTCCTCCCGTCACCCTAAGCTCATTATACCGCGAGCTGCAGAGCCAGCTGTACCTGCCCCCTCCCCCGTCCGTTCCGCCAGTCAGCGCTGGAGGATTGGAGCGGGGAGGGGGGAAATCCAGCCCCTCCCCTGTCACGGCAGAGAGCCGTGACAGGATCGGAGGTGAGCGAACGCCGGTATGTGTTCGCTCACTTCCTGATCTACTTAGCCGACCTGTGACAATCTCATTGTCACAGGTCGACTAGAACTATGAGGTGAGTGAAAAGCACTCCCCTCATAGTTCTCTTTTAAGTAAACCTGTACTGAGAAGAATAAAATGGCTGTTATTACTGGTCCCTCCTTCTGAATATGCAAGTTGCCTGGCTGTTTTGTTGCTCCAGTGGCTTCAATATTTACTGACTCAACCAGAGCAAGTGTGCAGATCAGTAGTTTTGAGTTTATTCTTTTTTTTCAGTCCGCATGCTTGTGTTGTGTCAGGAACTCAGAAAGTATGTAAGCCAGACACAGACAGGCAGTTAGCATTTCTAATGCACGGTCAGTAATGGCAGCCATTGCTTTCCCTGAGGGCAGCTTTTCTAGAAATATTATTATTTTTCAGATTTGTTTTTATTACGAAAGAAATACCTCCATATTTCTTTAAGTACATGTTTCCTTTAAATCTAACCTGTATCTTGTCACTGTGCCTTTATTTAGTTTTAAAAAAGCAGGGACATTTGCAGGGACAGACCTACTAAGGAAAAATGTTACAATTAGAATTGTCCCTGTAGATCAGACTATGCCTATAATCACATAAATGCTCGGCAGATGAATAAATCAGCAGCACCTTGCCAACCAGGATAGAACTACAATACCCATTATGGGTACAGTGAGATAACATGCTGTAACTTGTAGTTCCACATCAGACAGCCTGGACATGATAAAGCATATTATACCAGTGATAAATAAATCTTGTGATACGGTTTTATTTGCTACACAAACTCCTGCCAGGCATTCATTTGTGATTTGTGTTGTTAGCCTTGTGATATTTAATATTGCAAAGCCAATTCTAGCCAATGACTATTGGATGCATGTAATAATCATGATCTATATGTGTTCACTCTCCAACTTGCCCCACAGCCAGGGAGGCAATTTAAATGCGGATTTAGAATATGCTGGATCCTAGGAGCAGAACTGATGGAAATGCGCTCTGACAAAGTTCTCACAGTTAAATGAAATTGCTTTGAAGTATCGGAGAGGAAACATAAGTCTTCCATGTCCTCTGTGCCATGTCAGCATAGCCCGGGGATGTTGATTGATTCCTTAACAAAGGCTCCACCAGTACAAGGATCTGACTGATTTCTGCTTCATCCCCCACGCTTCTTACTGGCGTCATGATGGGAGGAGTTCATCAAATAAAATAACAACATACACCCCAGTGGAAGAGATAAATAGGGAGCTTTCCCATTCCTCAAGAAAGCTGCCCCCCTCACCGCTGCTGCCTCCCTGTGTTTGCCCACAAGCTCTATAGCCGGGCTTCAGCACCATGGACAGCTCCCGACTACGCAGCCTGGCTCTGGGCAGCTGTCTGCTGCTCCTTATCATCAGCGCTGTGTGTGGGCAAGATGACAGCTCAGACCTGGAGACCAGGGCACTCCGAGACTTCTACCCAAAAGATACCATTCCTTCCAGTGAGAAAGAGCTGGTGAGTAACCCTAATCCATGGAGACCAGCATTGCTTTCAGCGCAACTTGTGCTGTCCAGCTGTGATGTCTAGAAGGTCAAAGTGGGACTTCTACAGCAGCTAGATGACCACAACATGCTCAGTATGTACTGCAATGGTTTGAGATCTGTGGCTGCACTTTTCTGGGACTTGTAGTTCCAGACAGCCACATGTATGTTTGTTAATATATGTACTTTGGTGTTATAGTACCAGCTTCTGTGTGATTTAGGTAAGGAAACAATGTGAGTTAATATATGAATTTTGATGTTATAGTACCTAACCCCTGTGTGGTTTAGGGAAGGAAACAATGTGGGTTAATATATGTATTTTGTAGCTCGGGGCTCTGCAGGAAGTCCTGGAGAAGTTACAGAGTAAACGAATGCCTTCCTGGGAAAAGAAATTCGGACAAGTACCAGTGGTAAGTAAGCCAAAATCATACCCTCCTGTGCCTTTGATGCTTTATACTAATACATCAGCCACTGATATTTATAGAAACATATTACCTGTTGCCAGTTAGACTCTTGGGGGAAAAAAGAAACATACTGTCTTAGTATGCAGACTTCTGTACAGGAACAATACTGCATAGTTCTGTGAAAAGAAAGAACACTCTACTTCTTTGATCAACATAAGCAAGGAAATATATCACACTATGGTATATACTGTACAACAGGAAGTTAAATTAAGATTCATATTGTTTTAATTTGCTGGAAATGGGGAGGTGATTTTTATATTATATGTACTTTGTATTTCCCATTGCTGTTATAGTTTAGTTACTCTCAATTTCCTATTGCTATTATAGCATATACTTTGTATTTCTTATTGCTATTATGGTTTAGTTACTTTAAATTTCCTATTGCTATTATACAGTAGGTTATGTACTTTATAATTCCTATTGCTATTATAGTTTAGGTACTTTATATTTCCCATTGCTGTTATAAGTGATCTACTTTATATTTCCTATTGCTATTATAGGTTATGTACTTTGTGTTTCCCATTGCTGTTATATGTTAAGTACCTTATATTTCCTATTGCTGTTATATATTAAGTACCTTATATTTCCTATTGCTGTTAAAAGTCATCTACTTTATATTTCCTATTGATATTATAGGTTATGTATTTTAAGTTTCCTATTGCTTGCTTCAGTTACTTGCATTATATGATCAAATAATGAAGGAGGTCTCTGTCTGGACAGAACACCAATTCAGATAATTAGCATGACGTCAAAGACCACACTATAATTTCTGTGCACTTTGTGTAAAATAAAAGAAGGCAGAACTGTTTATTTTCTAGATATGTATCTCCAGCAGAGGTCATAATCTGCTGTGTTTTTATGTGTATGCATTTAGTCAGCTGGCTCTCCAAGCATACATATTTATATATGATCCAGTAATGTCTAATTGCTGTTTACACACTCCATGATTCTTCACATACACGATTTAGCATGCTGGTGGCTCAACAGGTATTTACCCTTGAGACGTACCTGCCTGTTTTCAGTATATATACACATCTACAACAAGATGTATGACAGGTAAAGTTCTTATTGGTCTATTAAGTGACAAATAAGCCTAGGCACATAATACTTCATCTGAACAGTAATAATGAATGTGGATAATGGATCTGTAGTAACATTTCGATTCCAAGTGATGTGTCTCTTTTTATCACACTTTATTTTCCAGTGTGATGTAGGTGAGCAGTGTGCAGTAAGGAAGGCTTCCAGGATTGGAAAATTATGTAACTGTCCTAGAGGTTCTGTGTGCAACTTCTTCCTACTAAAGTGTTTATAAGGCAAACATAAAAACCCAAAGACGATCTGCAGAAGAGACAGGGCTGAGCACCAACACAAGATCTGGAGAGGACTTGGTGATCATGATTTTTACATTGGTAAAATGATGTACAGCATCTGTTGTGTATAATGTACTGTTCTGCTAGCATTTCTGTGTGCACTACAAATAAAGATTTGCTCTCTTTTCTAAAGTGTTCTTTCATTAGCAGTCTACTACTGTGCAGGGCAAGCCTACAACCAACAACTACATATTGTGTGCTAAAAATGGATTGGATAAACATGTCATTTAGAACTGGCACTGCCCTAGATGCTGAGAGGAAATGCACTTTGAATTAGCATATGATATAATGTTATTCTTCATAACAGCCTTATCCTATTATCCCACAAACTGCACCCCACTTATCTGAATTGCAGGGTTCTCCCCACAGGGTTCTGTTTAGTTTTGAGTTTGGCTCCACCTGCACAGCTGCATCATTCATTTATAGGATCTGTCAATGGAGAGACAACACATCCCATCCGCCACCGCGGCTGAGAGACTGGTAGATCTCAATGGAGCACTAGTGTTGTGACGTCACTGCACTTGTAGTCCATTATTTGCTTCCTCTAACCCCATAACCAAAGGTCCATACCATCATACAGACTTGGGGCTAGAGCAGGGGTGGGCAATTCTGTCTCTCCAGCTGTGCTTTAACTACAAATCCCATCATGCATCGGTCTCTGGGAGTCATGCCTGTGGCTGTAAGAGACTTGCAGTGCCTCGTGGGACTTATAGTTCCACAAAAGCTGGTTTTGCCCACCACTGGGCTAGAGGAACAGTCTGCAGTAGCCTGAGCATTGCACTCATAATCTACTAATCATGGTTGTAATGCTCCAATGCAAACAAAATAATAAATATACATTTTTCTTTCATCAATTTGTTTGCATTTATAACGTTTTTTACTAAAAAGTGGACTGTGCCTTCAAAACAAGTGAAAGCAATGACAGTGATGGACTTGCTTATTTCTTTTTGTCTGTCTTGTAATTATAACCATGCAACCATTTACATACCATAATATGTCCTCTAAACCCTTGGTTCTCAACTGGTGGGTCGTGACCCAAAAGTGGGTCGCGACCCCATGTCCAGTGGGTGGCCAGATGCCTTCCACTTTTCTAGGTGAGCCTCCCCCTAGAGAAGCACAGTCAGTTCTCGCACCGAGCAGCCATTTAAAACTATGATGCCCGGTGCCGAGTGTCGACTTGAAATCGGGTGAGGTGGGGCTATGGCCGCAAGGGAGCTCCATTCATAAGTGCATTGCTTAGAGCTCATCACATTGTGGCTCCCGCCACCTCTACAGGGCACGCACGAGAGCTTTACAAGCAATACACATATGGATGGGGCATCATCACAGCACAGCAGACCACACTGGACCCCAGCTTGAGGATCCGCTCTAATTTCCTTAATGGAAACCCAAACGCACATCCCACCCACAGTTCAATTGCCTGCACCGGAAAGCGCAGTACCGCGACATGGAACATTGCAGTGCAACTTGGGTCGTGAGGTTACCCAGGTTGAGAACCACTGCTCTAAACAATTATTAGCATTACATATTCTATGAAATACTAAAATCTGTTTTACTAAATATTGACCATTGAGGTGAAAGTCTACTGCCCACAATAACTAAATCAGGTTAAGCCCTAGCTCACACAGGCAACATCTGAGCATAATAACAAGTTATTTAAACGTTCAACAGAATATCTTTTAAATGTATCAACAACTGTGTAGTATGAGGGCCAACCAAAACAATGTAATCATTTATATCTAACAAGCCAGGCCCTTGCACTACCTAGGTCAGGGACAGTGGCATCACAAGGGGGGTGCAGCCCACACCCGGATGACACCATTGGAGGGATGACACCAAAATGACTCACAGTCAATTTGGTGTTATCCCTCTGAAAAGTCGGACACTCTGTCAGGACCGAGAGCCCGAAAGAGGCGGGGATCCGACGACATACCTTATCCCGCCAGGTTAACATCCCCTCTTCTCTCTGCCGGCGTTCAACACCAAGATGCCCGCTGGCAGGTAACAGCACGTGACATCATCACGCGCGTTTGCAATGACACCACAGCGGGGTGCCACACAGTACCCGCTCCGGGTGACACCCTGTTTCGGGGGACATCCCTAGTCAGGAGTAGGCAACCTTGGCACTTCAGCTGTAATAAAACTACAAATCACATGAGCCATTGCAAGACCCTAGCAGTCACACATGTGGCTGCCAGAAGCTGAGGGATCATGAGATTTATGAGATTTGTAGATTTACCACAGCTGGAGTGCTGAGGTTGTCTACCGCTGACTTTGTGCAAGGGCCTGGCTAGTTAAGTGAACACTAATGTGCATTACTGGACTCTCTAAATCCAGTAACCAGGAAACTCTATTTTTTGTTTTAACAAAAACAAGAATTAGAATGCTGTAGAGAAACAACATGAAATGATGATTAAAAGAAACAGCCAGTTTTCAGATTTTTTAGTTTACAGGGAAAAGTAGTTGATTTAATCAAAATTCTCCATTCACATATGCACATTTTTCCCCACTTCTAATAACCATGTCAATCTAGACATTTGTAAACTTACTTATTAAAGATGCCCATAGGGTGTACTTCCTCAATACACTGACACAATTTCACTCAGCCCTGTGAACATGCACTTCCTTGGGTTACAATTCTCACAGAGCCAGCCTTCCGAACTACAACATCTGAACAATGTAACATTATCACTGCTTGCTAGAAGCAATGCATGATGGGCTATCTACTCGTGAGAAATCAAGATTGCATCCCATTAAGCAGCAAGGAAAGAGATACAAAGCACACTGGGAATCCAGGAAGTTGATGAAAGTGATGGGCAGACAGAAGGCAGCACTCACTACATAAAATGTTTTTTTTTTTAAAGTAAGCTTTGATTGTATTATCACAAATAACTCTAGTATGTATTCCTATTACAATGCCGATGTTATAGGATATGCTGGGACGTTACAACTCCTATAATGATCCAGTGTATCATGCAATGATTTCCAGGCTAGTGTTTGTTTGTTTAAAACATACTTTGAAATAAGCGTACTTTACATATTTTACCTATAAATCATCCTAGACATGAGACCAGGTGAGCCATGCTGTCTGCACTCTGTCTCCCTGCTAAATACTATTGAAAATGTTCAAAAGTTTTTAACAAGCATTTGCTAAGACCTTGTCACATTGTATTGTTCCATGTGACAGGGCCATAGCAATACACATTTGTTACCATGAATAGATGCCACGCTGAGACTACCTGCAGAACCTTTTCAAATATAAATCCGTCGGCTCTCTAATGTGAAAGCGTGTTAGTAAATTTAATGTGCTCCAGCTGCCTGCACTCGTTACATTCTACAGAGATCTGAACATTTGTGGACTTACATAAGATATTTAAAGATATCATAGAAAATGTTGGATTAGGTTGAACAACACTATAAATCTGGACACACATGTTACAATATCTCCTTCTTTTGGTCACATTCTTTTAGAATCTGATTGTGAGGTGTTTTAATTTGTGTATCATTCAACCTTCCTATGCCCATTTGGGAAATTTCTCTTGGTATTTGACCGATGTAATTTGGAACAGGCAGTGATGAAATAACTCACAAACTGCCCTATGCAACAATTTTATAGCAATATTGTAACAAAAAGTAGATTTCCAATAAGTACACAAGTGATACCAGTTCTATACTGCTCTGTGCAATTATCCATATGTCACATTTATATTAAAACGTATTGCATTCAGCACACAGATGCTTACATTTTTTAACTGAACTAATAGCTTAAAAGTGCTCATTTTTCCTCCCATCTATGTTACTGAATGTCCATACCAAAGTACGGATATGTATGGGAGAAAGAGTCTGCAAGAGCCTGAGCCTTGCATCTGTGATCCACTGGCCGCAGTTGTGATGCTTTACAAGCTCCAATGCAAAAAAATAATAAGTATACATTTTTATTCTATAAAGAAATGTGCTTTTATTATTTTTTGCCAGTAAATGGACTTAACCTTAAAGCTGAAGTGTAGTGTATGCATATAATACCCACCCTTGTTCCCCTCTCCCCCTTGATCAACATGAAATTAAATTTTTGATACCTGTTTTTGAGACCCAGTTATGTCATCACTGGGTCTGTCTGCTCTTCTCTGATGGGAGGGGCCAACAGGCTCCTGTAAATATGACAGCATTCTGCCTCTGATCTTTTTCAAAAGAATTATATGAAAGAACACATTTAGATCCCTTTAGATGTACCTGCTTCTCCTTGCTGGCCACTGAGTGATGCAGACTTTAGCTATGCAGTCTGCTGATTGGTTGACTGGTTGCAGGCATGTCTAAAGCATATTCAGGGATATGTTCTTTCAAATAAAGCTTGAGAACAAAATGACTGATGGCAGAGAAAGCTAATAACTGTGGGTGGGGGGAGGCAACAACGGTACTATATCCCCTTTAAGGAGATTCACCCTTGCTTCCTATTCTGCATGAAAACCATCAGATAGACACTGCTTCATTCTATCTAAAATAAAAATGTGGATGGAGTTGGGCTTTAAAGAGAGTTCTCCCAAAGACAGATATGATTAGTATTGTTGCCCATATTTTACTTGTTTTTCACTGACATAACAGCTTATTGAATTGCTAGTGATAGATAGCTCGGAAATTGTACTTGTTGGCAGGAAAAGCTGGGTGCTTTGTGTCTAATAAATGAGGACAGATCTCTGATACTTCTTTTCATAACAAATCTTCCTGTGAATTGTCATCCAACATTTCCATACATGTGCTGATGTTCTGTCTTGACATGTCACATGTAGCTGAAGAAAGCATACTGCTTTATGTTATCAGCCACGTCAGACTACAACGTAGAGAGGGGCTGTGGAGAAGCTGGCTGCACTGTCTTTCAACAGAATTGCTGGATAGGATATCAGCAAAGGGGAAAAAGTATTTATGTCAACATAATTAAAGGGAAGGTATAGACTTTTCACTTATTTTTAGATATACATGTAAAAGAGATCAGCTTTTAATATCGACATATGTTAAGGTTTAACAAAAAACATTGTCTCTATATAGTTTGTAATATATATTTAGTGGCAGCCATAATTGTTCATCACATATGCAGGCTCTGCTTCCTGTCTTGCTGACATTTTGAAGTCCTGT